TATGAAGTGGCAGAGACCTGAGGGGGTAGAATGACCAGTGCCACTTGGATGGGGTTGTTGAATCACAGGTTTTGAATGCTCCCCAACGTCTCCATAAAATTGGATCGGCTCCTGGATCAGCGAGCTGTACCTAAAACCCCAGCCCTGTCTTCCACCCGTCTACCGCAAGGCCCCCGACCTGTTCTGTCGGTTCAATTGCCATTCATGCTTTTATCACTCCAGATCTCCAGGGCACAATTCAAGGTGTTGTTTGCGAGCTATAAAGCCTCATAAAGGGCTGGGCCCTATATCACTCCTGGGCTTTTACGGTAAGACATACTAAGCGGCGGTGGCTCAAGTGGTTAAGACGCTGAACTGCAGGCTGTGGAAGGTCAGGAGTTCAGCAGTTCGAGACCCGAGTTGCCGCATGACGGAGTGAGCTCCCGTCTCTAGTTCCAGCTCCTGCCAACCTAGCAGTTCGAAAGCAAGCAATTGCAAGTAGATAAATAGGTACCACTTCGGTGGGAAGGGAACAGCGTTCCGTGCGCCTTGGTGTTTAGTCATGCCAGCCACCTGACCATGGAAATGTCTTCGGACAGCGCTGGCTCTTCGGCTTTGAAATGGAGATGAGCACCGCAACCCTAGAGTCGGACTCGACTGGCTTTCGAGCAAGGGAACCTTTACCTTTATCTATACTAAAAGAAGAGTTCATAAAAGACGTTTTGGGCTATCAAGGCAAAGGTTTCCCTTGCGCGAAAGCCAGTCGACTCCGACTCTAGGGGGCAGCGCTCGTCTCTGTTTCCAAGCCGAAGAGCCAGCGCCGTCCGAAGATGTTTCCGTGGTCATGTGGCCGGCCTGACTAAATGTCGAGGTGCACGGAATGGTGTTACCTTCCCACCGAAGCAATACCCATTGATCTACTTGCACTTTTTTGCTTCCGAACTGCTAGGTTGGCAGGGGTTATACAATTGCAGAATTTGCAATCTGTTAAACGTTCCTTTGGGGGGCTGGTTTTTAGTGGGTGGGATGAACAAGTATCTTTTAAAAGATATTTATACAACCCTTTTCTCCCCAACGGGGACCCAAAAGTGGTAGCATCTGTCTCCCTACCTCCATTCTATCCTCACAACCAATGTTCCCTCTAAGCTGTGGAGTCTTGTGAGCAAAAAATCTACTTTGTGAGCTACTGGCATTAAAGTGGTGAGCGAGCAATTTGGCTACTGCATCAATTAGGCTGATCTGGAGCCATCCTTTCCTGAGCTAAGACAGAAATGTGTGAGCCGGAGGCTAAAAAACTGTGAGTTTGCTCACACTAACTCAGCTTAGAGGGAACACTGCTCACAACAGCCTTGTGAGGCAGGCTGTGCTGAGAAAGAGTGAATGGTCCATGGTCACATGCAGTGTCCCCTCTGAGTTAGTGTGAGCAAACTCACAGTTTTTTAGCCTCCGGCTCACACGTTTTTGTCTTAGCTCAGGAAAGGACGGCTCCAGAGCAAGCTAATCTATGCAGCAGCCAAATCGCTCGCTCACAACTTTAATGCCAGTAGCTCACAAAGGAGAATTTTTGCACACAAGGCTCCACAGCTTAGAGGGAGCATTGCTCACATGGCAGAGAGGGGGGTTCGAACCTTGGCTTCCCACATCCTAGTCTGGCTCTCTAACCCCCTCTACAGTGTTGGCATTCTCTGTCTAAAGGTAAAGGTTCCCTTGCTTGAAAGCCAGTCGAGTCCGACTCTAGGGTTGCGGTGCTCATCTCCGTTTCAAAGCCGAAGAGCCAGCGCTGTCCAAAGACGTTTCCGTGGTCATGTGGCCGGCATGACTAAACACCAAGGCGCACGGAACGCTGTTCCCTTCCCACCGAAGCGGTACCCATTTATCTGCTTGCAATTTCTTGCTTTCGAACTGCTAGGTTGGCAGGAGCTGGAACTAGAGACGGGAGCTCACTCCGTCATGCGGCACACTCCGGTCTCGAACTGCTGAACTCCTGACCTTCCACAGCCTGCAGTTCAGCGTCTTAACCACTTGGGCCACCGCAGCTCCTATTCTCTGTCTAGTCAGTTTGAAAACGGAACTCTGTAAATAAACCATCTAGATTCTCACCCAGGGCTTGGCTTCTTGACTCTCCTATGACCTTTATGTATTTAATGCCTGATACTTCCTCCACGCTCAGGGCAGCCTGCGTGGTCCCTTCCTCCGTGTTATCCTCTCAGCAACCCTGAGAGGTAGAAGAGGCTGAAAGACAAGCGAGGGGCACTTCCTTAAGGCCACACAGCAGGCTTTGGGACGGGGTGGGGATTCGAACTTGGGTCTTCCGGATCCTAGTCAGACGCCCTAACCCAGGGTCCCTCAACGTGGCGCCCGTGGGCGTCATGGTGCCCGCAAACACCTTTCTTGGTTCCCGCTGAGTGCTTTTAGAAAGTGGGTTGGGCTAGGCAAGGCTTTTGCCCAGCAGGGCTTCTGATTGGCCGTGTAGACTAAAAGGCGTCTTGGTTAGGGTTGCCAGGTCTGGGTTGGGAAATACCTGGAGAGTTGGGGGGTGGAGTCTGAGGAGGGTGGAGTCTGGGGAGGGGAGGGACTTAAATGGGGTCTAATGCCGTAGAGTCCACCTTCCAAAGCAGCCGTTTCCTCCACGTGAACTGATCGCTGTCGCCTGGAGATTAGTTCTAATACCCCCCCCCCCTCCAGCCAACGGAACTCTGTAAATAAACCATCTAGATTCTCACCCAGGGCTTGGCTTCTTGACTCTCCTCTGACCTTTATGGATTTAATGCCTGATACTTCCTCCGAGCTCAGGGCAGCCTGCATGGTCCCTTCCTCCGTGTTATCCTCTCAACAACCCTGAGAGGTAGAAGAGGCTGAAAGACAAGCGAGACGGGCACTTCCTTAAGGCCACACAGCAGGCTTTGGGGCGGGGTGGGGATTCAAACTTGGGTCTCCCGGATCCTAGTCGGATGCCCTAACCCAGGGTCCCCCAACGCGGCGCCCACGGGCGTCATGGTGCCCGCGAACCCCTTTCTTGGTTCCCGCGGAGTGCTTTTAGAAAGTGGGTAGGGCTAGGCAAGGCTTTTGCCCAGCAGGGCTTCTGATTGGCCGTGTAGACTAAAAGGCGTCTTGGTTAGGGTTGCCAGGTCTGGGTTGGGAAATACCTGGAGAGTTGGGGGTGGGGCCTGAGGAGGGTGGAGTCTGGGGAGGGGAGGGACTTAAATGGGGTCTAATGCCGTAGAGTCCACCTTCCAAAGCAGCCGTTTCCTCCACGTGAACTGATCGCTGTCGCCTGGAGATTAGTTCTAATACCCCCCCCCCTCCAGCCACCAACTGGAGGTTGGCAGCTCTAGTCTTGCTGGCCACCATCCTGGGCCTGAGTTCCAGAGTTGCCCGCAGGTTCAAAAAGCTGGGGGGCTCTGCCCTAACCACCGTTCCGCACCGCCTCTCCTTGCAAACAGGCTCCCAAATCAAGCCACCCGAATGTGCACACAAAACAGAGTCATAAATCTTCAGCTGCTGGGGTGAGGTTGACCCTTTTTACGCCTTTCTTTCTTTCTTTCTTTCCCCTCCACGACCGATCAAAACAATGGCCCAAATGAGCCTGCTGGACCACATTCATGTCATGTCAAGTTCTGGTAAACACAGATCTGGGCAGGAGGGAGCAATTCTCTCTCGGCAATAACAAGCCATAAATCTCTTGCGAAGGGCAAACCGCCTTCGGTGTGCATGTGTGCAAGAGAGACAACGAACGAACGTGCCCACAGTCATGCGCTTGTGTTGATGTACGGGAGCCTGTGACGCTCCTCTTCCCCCCCCCCTTTGTTTTGGTCCTTGCAGGCCCACCCTCTCTGTTGCAACCGCTCGCAAACTAACCCGCCGTGTACTTCCGTGTCCTGACATGGGCAGGCCCTCCGCCGAGACAGGCCGTTCCAGGAAACTGTAGGCCACTTTAATTTGATGTGGAAAGGGGTGGTTGTTGCCGGTAACTCAGGGTGAGTGAGAAGGGGAAGTCTGTCCCGCCTTAGAGTGACCCAGAACGGCAGAAGAAGGGGCTGCCAGGAGAACCAACGGCTGGGCAGAGCGGCTGGGGGACACGGGTTCAAATCCCCCTTCAGGAGATGGCGGGGGTTGGAGATGGGAGTGACCTTGGAGGGGGGGGAATAATGCCATAGCATCCATCCCCCAGAGCAGCCATTTACTCCAGGGAAACTGATCTAGAGTTCAGTTCTAATCCCGGGAGATCTCCAGGCCCCACCTGGAGGGTATACAGAAATATATATCACTGTGATATACATTTTTGTATGTCTTCCTAACACTGTGACCCTCAGTTTTTGTATTTCCCACCTGGAGGGTGGGCTACCCTTCAGAGCCAGTTTGGTGTAGTGGTTTAGGAGCGTGGACTCTTAATTTGGGAGAACCGGGTGTGATTCCCCACTTCTCCACAGGCAGCTGCTGGTGTGACCTTGGGTCAGTCACAAGCTCTCTCAGAGCTGTTCTCTCAGGAGCAGTCCACGAAAGAGCTCTCTCAGCCCCACTGACCTCACGGGGAGTCTGCTGTGTGGAGGGGAAGGGAAAGGGAATGTAAGTCACTCTGAGAAGGGCGGGGTATAAATACAATCTCCTCTTCTTCTCTTCTAGATTCACCACCTGTGGGATATGTTGTTCTGCATGGGGCTGTCCAGGGGAGCGGGGAGTGTTTGTTTTCCAGGCGGTGGGCGGGTCCGATGAAATGGCCTTTGGTCCCTTCTGCGACAACAAACCTGCTCCTTTTCCCTTGGCTGAGGCCGGAGTTGTGACCCAGTTGTTGCCGTCCCGGTGATGTAACGGCTCTGCAATCTCTCTTCCCGGGGGGTGACTCACTCCGATATCATAAGCCCGAGTCACTTCTTAATGGTCTGTGTCGCAACTTCAGAACAAAGGATTGCTTTGTGGCCGGACAGGAACTCGCGCCTACCTGCCCTGGCGGAAAACCTCGGTCCTGCAAAGCTCAGGTCCGTGCCTCGGACACTGAACAGGGTCCTCTGTTTCTCTGGCAGGGTGTCATCATGAAAGAGGAGGTAGAAACCGGCGTCAGGTTCATCTCTCGCCTGGTGAACCGGCACGACAAGCTGGCCAAGGGGCAGGTGCAGCTCTTTGGGGAGAGTCTGGTCACGGTGCTGTG